GACGGCCGACAGATGCAAAGTAGTGTGCAATTCCTTGGTCTCCCAACCAGCTTTTAAGAACAGGCGTCTCAAACTGGGGACCATTATCAAAAACCATAGACATGGGAACCCCGAACCGAGTGATGACGTTTTTCCAAATGAATGAAATTACATCTTTCGTCTTGATTCCCTTTACAGCCTCCGCCTCTACCCATTTAGTGAAGTAGTCAACGGCAACAAGTATATACCTTCTGCCGCCTGTAGCAGGCGTATATGGACCCAGAATGTCCATGCCCCACTTAGCAAACGGTAGTGGGCTGTGAATGGTAGTGAGGTCAGTAGCCGGCTGAGGGCGGAACTCATCCGACCGCTCCTCTGCCAATGATTGCTATTTTCTTGCTTTTCTTGCGGACTCTGTCTGGGACGCCTTTCTCTTTTTGTCGCCTGTTTCTTGAACAGGCGCACTCTCCTTGACATTGTCAAGGTCTGTTTTTTCTCCACTTGACCCAGTGGCCATAACAGTGGGCTTGACATCCGAGAGATAGCACTCTCGGGCCATCCTCTGATCTCCCCTTAGGGAGCCGACTGTTCCATTATCCCTCTCAAACTTAAGCAGCATAAGAGACGGGATTATAACAGCCTTGGAATTATTCAGGGTTGGTCGACCCAGAATCATGTTGTAGGCCGAGAGTTCCTCTACTACTAGGAACCAGACTACCATGTGTCGTCCTTCCCCTTTTTTGCCCAGGCGAATGGGTAAATCTACTCGTCCCAGTGGGTGGACGACTCCTCCTCCAAACCCTATTAAAGGGTGGGAGGCCGGATGTATGCAGTCCGTCTGATATTTCAGTTTTGACAGACATTTGCTGCTGATGAGATCTGAGGAGCTCCCGGTATCTATGAGGATTCGGCCAACTCTCTGGTTGGCCACTTTACATTCAATAATGAGAGGGTCGTCATGCGGCCCCCTTACCCCTCCTAGATCCTCTTCAGTGATGACAATCTCAGGAAATGTATATTTGGACGGCCGTTCTTGGTGAACGGAATTTACATCTAACCGCCTTATATTATCTTTGTTGCCCCTAATAGTGGGGCCGCCTCCTGAGAAGCCGCCTGTAATGGTGTAGACGACTGCATCATCTGTATCGGAACTGTCGGCCTGTTGATTCTTTTTGGCCGACTGCTTTTTTGAGGAAGTGTTCCCCGTTGATTTCTTGACATAAGTGTCAAGATCACCTTGCTCAGCCAAGCGGTCTAGGTACCGCATGAGACTGATGCAGTCATTGGTGTGATGACCAACGTCATCATGATAAGCACAAATTTTGTCTTGGTTCCGGTTGTTTGCAGAACCCTTCATGGGGACCGGCTTCTCAATTGAGAACCGTCCCTTTATTTCTTTTAGGATAAACTGGTTATCCTTGTTAAACACATACTTTGGGGAGTATGGTTTGAATTCTTTTTTCTTTTTCTGGGCCGGCTGTTTAGAGGAATCAACCGCCCAGACCTCTTTTCTTTTCTCATCTTTGTTAGACGACTGTTTCTGTCGTCCTTCTCTTTTGTCGAACCTTTTCCCGTCCGACTGTTTTATCGTACACAGATCAGTCGCCTGTATATAGGCTTCTGCTTCAATCAAGGCCTCTTGAAGAGTCGCCACCCTTTTTCGAACTAAATCAAATTTGAAGGTAGACCCGTCTTTGAGACCTCTAAAAAAGTCAGTATAAGCTACCTCATCCGGTAACCCTTGAATCTGTATTCTCATCAGGTTGAACCGCCTGATGTAAGAACGAAGCCCCTCCTTCTCGCCCTGCTGAATTGTTCCCAAATCAAGGGTCGTTTTCTTCGCAGGGATGTTCATGGCGAAGTTGGAGGCAAATAAGTAAGCAAGCGTCCTGAAGCTGTTTACACAACCAGTCGGCAGGTTGCCGAACCATTGCTGTGCGATTCCCTTGAGAGTCGCTGGGAAACACTTGCACCAAGTGGGATCATCCAACCCTTGAAGGTACATCAGGTTGGTGAATGCCATCAAATGGTCTTCTGGGTTAGTAGTGCCGTCATAGGCGCCTACTAGTACATTTTTTACTTTGGCCGGCTGAGCGGCTTCAGTAATTTCCTTGGAGAAGGCCGACGGCTGTTCACCAAGTCTAAGCAACCGTAGCTGCCAGTCCATAGGTTGGACGTTTTTTGCTGCAGGTCCACCAAATGGAGGTGGCTGCATAAAATACTGTTGTTGCGGCACAAATGGTAAGTTTGGTACCGCCTGAGCACTATGAAAGCCGGACTGACGGGAGGTGCCGCCTGACTGACTCTCATGGTACGACTGAGTATGCCTCATCGAGGCATTTCGCAAACTGTCTTGAAAATTTGAAGTAGAAGCCGACTCTGACAATCGGTCACTCTTCTTCTGCTCTAGCAGTAGCCGAGCATCTGTGAACGTTTGCTTTGACCCGTCCGCCTGAATATGACGAACCGGTTTCCTATTTCCCGTAGGATAACGGAATTTTGTGAAATCAAGAGCAGGTGGCTCCCGCTTCTTGGATTTAGGATGAGGAGTCGCCTCTCGCCCTTGAACTGGCTTCCTCTTTAGTGAAGTGGAAGGTTTTTTGGCCGACTGCTCTTTGACTGAAGCAGGCGGCTTTTTGTTGATCAACTCTTGAATCTCTCCCTTGAAGTCCCTCATGAAGGTCATGAGTTCGTTCCTTGTGATGGGAGCAGACCCATCAGTCGGCTGTTGCCGAGCAGGCGGTGCGCCTGCTGGCTCGCTTCCTGTTTGAAGATGCTCCCGTTCCCTCCTTTCGGTATGACGGGTACGTCGGGCCCTTAGGGTCCCGTCTGGAGCTGTATGAGTTTCCACTTCAAATTCACTTTCGGTGTCATGGTCCGACTGAACTTGAGGGTCGTTTAGGGGACTCCTCTCTTCAGGAGTCGGTACAGACTTGGATGCCATCTCTGAAGTACTCTCCCCACAGACGGCGCCAAATGTTTCGGGGTTTTCTGATGTCCTGCGGGAGAGTTACAATTCCGAGACTGGAAGCGGACGCCTGTACCTGCAAAATAACGGAGACTCCTGAGAGCTCCGCCTCCAACGGTCAAGTTAGTACCTGATTAAGGAGTAATTAATACGGAAATTAAAGTAATAAGACCTCTCTAGGTGAGAGTGTTTAATGTTGGTAATCTGCTTTGTTAGCGAGATTAGCCGGTTATTAGTGTTCCGTAATGTTTCTGTTCTTCTCTGTTCTTCAGGTGAGATTAATTGCTTGATCAATTGCCTCTCAATTGCTTGATTGCCTGATGTTTTCTTGACTCCTTAATTAATGAGGATTAATTAAGTATTTATAGTCTTGAGAAGCGTGCCACTCTCTAGGTTTAGGGTAAACCTAGGGCTGACCGGGCCTCTAGACAGGATTGGGCCTTGTTGGCCGGTTTTCCCATTTGGCATGGGTGGACACGTGGCGTGCCTCGATTGGTCCGTAGAGGACGTATCTGTGATTGACACGTGGCAGGCTCCTATTGGCCTTCGTGAAGGACACGTGGCGGAACCTGGTTGGTCCACTTGTCAGACGGTGATTGGTGGATAAAAATCCCCTAATCAGAATCTACATTGTTGGCTAATATGGAATCTACATTGTAGCTCTTGACATGACCTTGAAGACAATGAAGATGACAGTGATAGTTCTAGTGAATAACGTACTTAGCATATGAAAGAGTCATTTATTTATATATTTGAAACTAGTTAAATAATTTAATATGCTCATATGCTTTATCAAAGCTTTTGCTGTAGTTTTGTTTTAGTTATTGTTTTTCTTTATTCTCCATAATCTTAGTTATAATGTCTATATATAGAGTATGATTGGCTTCTATAAGGTTATATATAGAGTATGAGTGGCTTCTATAAGGTTATAATGACTGACAATGATGATGACTTGCTTTAGTTTATAATGTCTACAAAACAATTAAGTTGGCGTCGTTGCCGGGGAGATTATTGTTAATATCTCATAACCTCTTGGTTTAACTAATTTTCTGTTTTTGTTTATTTATTTGTGTAGGTAAGTAGTAGCTGACTGTAAGTTTTCTAATTGTTGCTTTTATAATTTAGATTATGTTTTAATTCACTTATGCTAATGGATGATAAAATATTTAAGAAATGAGCTTGGTGATTCTAAATAGTATATATTGAATTCGATATATGTGAAGAAGTGACTAATTAAGGAGTGTGTTTTTTTTTTTTTTTGCAATTAACTAATTAAGGGTTCGTTTGGCATTGTTGTGGTTTTCTGTTGTCTGGTTTTTTGTTTTCTAAAAGTATATTATATGAGTCCCATAATGAATAAAAAATTATATTAACTTATTAAAATTATGATAATTTTGAAACCTGACAACAGAAAAGTGGAAACACCTTTTTCTTGTTTCCTGTTTTTGGTTTTAAAAACAACAAGCAACTGAAAACCAAAACTGATGCCAAACAAGCCCTAAGGATTTTGTTTTAGTTAACTAACTGGTTGGTGTTTGCAAGGTATAAAGTGGCTTGTACTCTGATCAATAGTAGGTAGTATGTGTTTACTCCTTAATTCTAGCTGAACATGTGAGATTAAAATGCTCTTTCAGTGAGGAAATGATCTCTACAATGTTACTAGTTAGTTTCATGCTCATGAGTCACTTCTTTTGAACTACATTTTATTTTGCGCTGAATGCAGAACCATCTCATTTAATGCTACTAAAATCCTGCAATCCCCATGTCTAAGATATATGATGATGTGTTCACAATATAAGTTAATTATGCCAACTTATAATCTGATTTTGATTCTACTTTGACTTTTGACTTGAGCAGAATTGTTTTAACTTAAGAAAACTTTAAAATCAGAGCACATTGATGTACTTTCTGCCAGAATTATGTGAATGTATGAATGTCTTATTTATATGTAACTGATTCCAACTCGTATCAAACTCTAACTGACAATGATGATGACTTGCTTTGGTTTATAATGAGCCAAATCTTAATTTATTTAAATATTAATTTTTTATAGGAAAATGTCAATCATTCCGACTTCATCAGAACAAGATCAACAAGAAAATGAGATTCAACAACCACCACCAAGGTTGACTTATCGTGAAAAGTGAAGGATTGACCAAGCTGAGCTTCGACAAAAATTCACTGATCATAAGAGGCGTGGCCCTACTAGGTATTTAAAAGATGTTTCCAAAAGAGCAACAAATCTAGAAGAAAAGATTACCTTTACTTTTATGGATGAGCTTCAACGTGTGGTTGGTGAAAAGACAAATGAGTTCATATGTGATTGCAGCAATCGGGTGGAAGAGTTTTGTCCTTTGAATGCATTGTATGCCTATTACACTTGATAAAATTACCTTTTACCATTTGCATTTCTTAATGTGTATGTCGATGATTATGATTTTAATATTTTCTTTTTGTCACAGGAATTGGGCTAAAATGGATCTTGATGCAAAGAAAAGTTTATATGACAAGATTTTGGTGAGTCAAAGTATATATAACATAATTATAAAAGTTGTATATAATTAGATAAATTAGCTTAATAATGATATGTTCTGTCAGCTTTAATTTTAACTTGATGATTTACTAGGCAAAATACAATCTACCTGAAAAGATTGGTGGTGCGGACGCAACTGATGCATTGATCTTTCAATGTTCTATATTATATAGGTATTGGAGGTTTAGACTCAAAGAAAAATACTATAGAGGCAAAACAAAGGCAGAGGCTAGAGACTATAGGCCTTCAACTATTGATCCGATACAGTGGGATTGGTTGGTTTATGAGTATTGGAGTTCCCCAAAACAAGAGGTAATGTGCTTCCTTTGTTTAATTTATTGCTAATCGGCTAAATATTTTTGCAATTATACTACATTAACTTGCCGGCTGAACTTGTAGGCCATTAGAAAAGTAAATACAGCAAATAAACTGAAGTTAACTAAAACACCGGATAATGGTGCAAAGTCCAAAGCAAGAATTTTCTATGATATGGTGTGTAGTTTTGGCCTTTTACTATGAAAAGTCTAAGTTAGACATTATTTAATGTTTATTCTATGATACGATGTGTATTTTTTTCATACGTAGATTAACGAGCCACCAATTGTTGCCACTCAAGTCAAAGGTTCATCTGAACATGCTGAAGTGAAATAAGATCCCATCTATATGTGATTATATGAGAAGACAAAAAGTACGTGAGATTACAAGGAAAGTCCCCAAGAATATTATTTATTATTGTTTTGTCTTTCATGTTACTATTTAAACAGTTATGCCTACATTAGCCTTATCTCATACTTAATATGCATAATGTTTTAGGATAATTTCAATTAATAAGCATATAAAAAAGGATGGGAGTACTAGTTAGGAACCAAATGCTAAAAAGAACTATGAAGACCTCAAAAGGCTTCATGAAACTTAAATCGCAGAACATGGTGAGGACACACTGAGTGTAAAAGATGCTTATATGAAAGTATTAAAACCTAAATCTGGATATGTGAGAGGACTTCGTCCTGGAGTTCGACCACCTACAAAAGTTAGAACCCAAGGAGATGATATGGATAGGGTTCAACTCTCTACTCAAGTTCACACACTAAGTGCGTCGAATGAAGAGCTTAGAGCATCTAATGAACAACTTAAAGCATCAAATGAGGAGCTCAAAGCATCAATTGAGGAGCTCAAAGCAGAATTTTCAAGAATGAACATGGAAGCCATTGATCGTGAAAATAAACTAAGAGAAGATATGCTAAAATGTTTAAGGAAATGAGGTAAGCAATTTTTTCATTGATGATTTAACTTATTTAGGCCAATGAGTTATGACGTGAGATCATAATACTGAAACAAGTTTAAGTCTACTATATTGTTGAGATATTTAATGCTTGTTTGCTGTGTATATGTTAATTTCTTGTTTATATGTACTGTGATCAAATTTGGGTTGCATTGTCTTCCGTATAGGAGACTTAACTATGTCCATAAGTGCAGAAAAAAGGTTTTTTTTGACCTTGTAGTAATAATTGTTCTTCTACATTCAAAATTAAAAGTTTAAGTGTTTAGCTAATAAAATTACATAGATAAAATTATGGTAGCAGCACGAAGAAGCAGTAATAATAATGTTACTTCTATTTCTTAAATCAATAAACCCCTCTTAGAAAACGATAACCAAAATAGATTTAATGTCAAGATTAATTTATGGTTCAGAATTTCCTTGATTTCATCTGCTTCACTTGTTGTTTTATATGTTGTTTTCAGCATATTGACTTTTGTGGGGAGTGATAATAAAGGAATTACTAGGCCTGTATCAAGGAAACAGACTGAAATTCTGTTTAGGGTAGTTCAAGCCTTAGCACAAGTAGCAATTTTTGTTCTTGTTAACAATCGTTCTGTTAATGAAGAAGCAATCCTCTCTTAACAATCGTTCTGTTAATGAAGAAACAGTCCTCTCTTAACAATGAGCATTATTGAGTGAAATCAGCCTTAGTCAATTACATACACTCTACTTCTCATCAAAATAAACATGCTCCCACTCTTACATTCCTTTCCTTATTATATCAGCACTGCCCTATACACAAAAATCCCTAATCATTGTTGTCATTTGTCTTGTCCTGTGACAAGGTGACTGTCGTCCCCTTTACCACATCACTTGTATGAAAATTACATAATTTTGTCATCTAGTTGTTGTCCTTGTTGCTGCTCCTGACCCTTGGTTTGTTGTTTGTGCCTTCTTGCTTGGTTTATTGTTTGTGCCTCCTTGCATATACACTAATGGGCTACTGTTGTGGGTCGACCCTATACATCGCAACAACATGTCCTGCTTTCTCATCTCCACCAAAATAGGTAGCATAAATTTGACCAGCAGGGATGCCATAAACCTGTCAGCAAGATGATAACACAAATTAGACTTAAAGGCCCACTCTTATAGACACAACATTTTTATGCATAATTCTAACAAGTACACTTTAGCAGCATAGAAAACTAGTTCTGAATACTTGCCATGGTTATCAAGAGCTCCTAGGCCCATTCAATGACCTCTTTCTTAGACTTAATTTCCACCAGATCATTGTGCTTTCCACATCGTCGAGATCATTGTGCTTTCCACCAGCCCGAATACATTTCTGAGTGTTGCAAGCACGCTTTAGTTCACTTAAAGGACTATTAAGATTAACATTGCCCAAGAAAGTTGGCTTGAATTCATTCATACCTGTTCAATCAGACTATTGTTTCAATAGAAGCTGTAACCCCTTTTTGTTTCAATTACTACATTGTTTGGACCTTCTTTTCTAATTTTTTTTAATTGATCTTATGGAATAAATAGTTATGTAGGTACTTTTATGACCTCCCTTTTATGTGGTGAAAGAAGCAATATTTTGTAGGTTTGGAGAAACTTATGTTTCAAAAACAAAAGTCAAAATAACGATAGGGACAGAAAATGATTTAAAACGTTCTGCGATCCTAAATCATTCTTGTAACGTCGATACCTGCAAACTAGTGTTAGTTTAAACAGTCACAATAGTTAAGAAACGTGTATCTTGCACCGTGGAGAACACGTCTCTAGAGTAACCGATTTTTTTTTACAGTTTTCCTCAAGCTAGGGGATACCGCCTGAAGACTACCACACTTGCAGTTGCCTTCAATTTCCGCTGTTTTATGACCATCTTCCACATCCTAGGGAACATGATCAAAGATAACTTCGCTTAAAATCACCTCCTATTTTTTGACAACCTTCCACATCCTAGTGAATGTCGTCGAAGATAACCTCGCGTGAAACCATCCTCAGTTTTCCGACAACCTTCCACATTCTAGGGAATACCGTCGAAGATAACCTCGCTTGAAGCCATCCTCAGTTTTGTTGTGATAATATTCCGAAGAAAATTACCGAAGACCCCCAATTGTTGATCCTCCATGCTCGCTTGAATTTTCCTGTTGATGCTTTGGGTGATGACAATCCTCTTTTCTTTAAGAACAATTGTCAACACAACTCTTGAATAATGTATCACAATCCGATTTAGGGAAAGTTGTCAATGCTACGTAACGATCCATACTTGGAAATGAAACCACAATGAAGCGACAATCCGTATCTCGGAAATTTTTCCAAAATCCATTTATGGGAAAATTTGCCAATGCTTTTTAATAATCTATCATAGAACCTTGCTATGATCGACAACCCACATCTTGGAAAATAACCTTGAAAGCAATCCACCTTGGAAATTTTCCAATGTTATGCGACAATCCATTTAGGAAAATATTGCCACAATTGATAATCCGCGTCTTGGAACATTTGCAAAAAAGAGTTGATCGACAATCCACTTCGGGAAAATTTGCCACTTACTTAAATGAATAACAATCCACGTTGATGAACCTTTGCCAAAATATTAATATGAATAGAGACCTGCGACAATGCTTTAGGAAATTTTGCCATAGGGATGTGTGTGTATGACAATCCAATCTCAGAAAACATGCCAGAGATGACAATCCAAACTTGTAAAAAATTGCCAAACAGAGAAAAAGCACGACAATCCACGCTTGGAAACTTTGCAAGATATGACAATCCAATCTTGGAAAGATTATCGTTGAAGAAGATGCGCGACAATCCACATTTGGAAATATTGATAGTTGGGGATGACAATACAATCTTGGAAAAATTGTATAAGTGATTGCTTTTGAACCGATTCCTTGGCGCTTATAATGAGCCAATGCTTAGGCGCTTAAGCTAAGTGAGACGATCTGTTCAGGTCAATAACTTAATGCGATTGTAATTGAGCCGACTACTAATCATAACAATATTCCTATAGGGGTTAACTAGCATATCAAGGAACCCAATCAATTAATATGACCGCTGACAGGCCGATTGACAATAAAATATGATTGCAGACAAGCTGACTCTAGTTTATTTGCTCAGTCGTTTAAGTCCTTTTGCTTTAAACCTTTTGTAAAGGTTACCCGTGCGTCTGGGACTTAGTGTACCTGCATTTACATTTTGGACTCTAGGAATTTCCTCATGTAATTAGGGTTTACATAAGACTTAATGTTGCTTGACTCATTGACTTGACATGACTCGAAGTGTAAACTTAGTTTAATGATGACTCACTATGTGTGACTCGTGTGTGTGCAGAGCGCTGACTTATGACTCAATGTGTAAACATGATTTATGTGTGCACTCGACTCAAAAACGTAGAAAACCAAAAAAATTTACGTAATTTTTATGGAGGGTATCGATTTTCTCACGTAAAAGAACGACGCAAAAAGACAGGAAGTGAAGTTTTTTAAGGTTCATGTTGAATAAGCTTTACCAAAAGTATGGATCAATGTCGTATCTTAGGGCACGAAGATTGTAACATCCTGGGCTATCTCCATTGTTAATTTTGGATGAAAGTATTTCAGTAACTTAGACACGGAGGCTAAGCACTTCATACTTCGTGATGTGATGCTGATTACGATAATGAGTGATGTTAATATGACAAGGCATGCTTCAACGTTATGCTAAGACTTAATGACAAAGGGTTAATGTATATGTGATGTGTTTTAAAGTGATACTAAAGGTAGACTACAAAGGCTAAGTGTATGGGAAATTATTATTTCAAGAAGAGTCAAATGATGGTGACTCTTAGGCTAGGTAAGCTGATGATGTAGGGATCAAGCCCCCAAGTCTAGCTCTAAATGGAAAGGGCTGAGCATCAGAAATTCCTTGATATGAATAATTATGAATTTAAATATTTGCATTTTTTTTATTATGGCCGCAACCCAATGTGAGATTGCCTACGTATCCGTTAGGAATCAGGCCGAACATAGCTCTTGTCAAACCTCGCACAAGTATTTGTATACATCAAAGAGGTCTGTTAAGGGTTGTAACGTGGTTAGGCTAAAGGTTAGAGAATAAATGGAAAAAGGCTCAAGACCCTAGATAAGCCTCCAAGGTGTGCAATCTTACTTTTGAATCTTCGTATTATTATGCTTGAGGTTTCCTCACTTTTTAACTCTCTTTCTTTAATATTTTATTATTTTTTGCTCGTTTTTTTTTTTTTTTTTTTTTTTTTTTTGCTTTTGCATTTTCTCTTATTTTGATAAGTGTGGGTAATCTTGATCATGCGGTCTATCACTCACTTGGCATTCATGTTTCTCAGGCATAGTACCGAGCACTAGATAAGAGAAGCAATCCGAGACGTGTTCTTATGAAAGACATGTTCATGTCAATGACATTGGATCACTTGCCCTTTTGTACACTTTTATTTATTTTTAATATTTTTATTTTATTCCTTATAAATCACTCAAGCTTTTATGAATTTGCATAAGTTACACACCATCCCATCCCAATGTTAGGTAGATGTCGTTTGAAAAGAATGAAGGTCTATCGTTAGACGAGGCTGAAAGTGGTTTATTAAGAGAGGTGTTTAGGGTAAAAATAACATAGACACGTGGACAAAAGAGAGAGGCCCACGTGTCAAGATCTGGCAGGTCACCATAGGCAACTCACCAGGTGACACGTGGCAACCTAAGAGAATAATAAGAATTGCGACATCCAAAGGCCCAATTCCCTATAAATCCGCACTTTGCGGCGAGACCCACTAAACCTAGGTCAGAGTGACCTAGGGAGGGGAACTTTTCCCAAGGACCCTATAAATAGGAATATATTCCTCCAATTCAGGGGCAGATACAATCATTGATTACATCCATATTCTCTCACATCAGAGAAATCTCCTAATCTGGGAATCTGAGAAGATCTCACTTTTACCTTTTTCCGCACTTTTTACTTACTCCAACATGTTCCAACTTGATCGTTGGAGGCAGAGCTCCAACCATCCGGAGTCTCCGTTGATTTTTTAGGTACAACTCAAGCCGGAGCATGACGAAGGGTGGAACTAGGTCGTTGAAACTAATCCTCCCTCGATCAAACTAAATTTATAAACACTTAACAAACCTATATACTAGTATAGAGGCAAGTCAAGGGTCGAACCCAAAGGAACGGTAATGTTCAAGTGCTCTCAATTATGCGCCTAAGCTAGG